ATAGAAACTTACAAATGCGGCAATGTTTTCCCTTGTGCCTCTGTGAGTATCACCCATTGTTAGAAGAGCCATTGTTTAAAATGCTTGAGATTATGAAATACTTAGGAAGAGATAAAGAGTATGAAAGACTTAGGAAGAGATAGAGAGTATGAAAGACTATGAAAGATTTCGTAGCAGAGAGTGAGACTTGTGTGGGTGTGAGAGATGTATGATATGGTATGTATTTATAGGCAAATAAATTTCATATAGTGGTTGTTGGTGCTTGCATGCATGCGAAGTGTCACTCTTGCAGGCTAGGTGGCATCCTAGGGGGTTACATATATGCATGCATGCATGTACAAAAAATGAAAGGTGTCACTCTTGCAGGCTAGGTGGCAGCCTAAGGATGTATCACGATTGGACAGTAAGGGAGGCGCCATTTGACTTGGTGAAAGAGTACAAAAATGAATGGTGTCGCCACCCTAATTGGCGAATAAGAGGTGTCCTTTGTTGCAGGCTAGGCTCAGGCTAGGTGACAACCTTTGGGATTCCTTGCCTGAATGCATGTAAGCCCATTGGAGGTGATGGGAGGGGACTTACAACATACAGTATAGGTGCAGAGTAGGCGCAAGTTAGGTGGCAGCCTAGGGGGTTACATATTTGCATGCATGTATCACGATTGGACAGTAATGGAGGCGCCATTTAACTTGGCGAAAGAGTACAAAAATGAATGGTGTCGCCACCCCAATTGGCGAATAAGAGGTGTCATTTGTTGCAGGCTAGGCTCAGGCTAGGTGACAACCTTTGGGATTCCTTGCCTGAATGCATGTAAGCCCATTGGAGGTGATGGGAGGGGACTTACAACATACAGTATAGGTGCAGAGTAGGCGCAGGCTAGGTGACAGCCTAGGGGGTTACATATTTGCATGCATGTATCACGATTGGACAGTAAGGGAGGCGCCATTTGACTTGGCGAAAGAGTACAAAAATGAATGGTGTCGCCACCCCAATTGGCGAATAAGAGGTGTCCTTTGTTGCAGCCTAAGCATAGGCTAGGTGACAGCCTTTGGGATTCCTTGCATGTAACACTATTGGCATCCTTGGGGGTTGCATCCTTACTTAATTGAAATTTTTAGTCTTGCGTTTATCATAACATTCATTCACTTAATCTGTCAAATCTTCCAACCTTCAAACGTTCTTACAATCAAACCTTTAAACCTTCAAACAATCAAACACATAAACTTTCGAATTACTCATAAAGTTCAAACATTCCAACCTTCAAACCTTCATACAATCAATAAACCTCAAACATTCCAACCTTCGAATCACTCATAAAATTCAAACATTCCAACCTTCAAACCTTAAAACAATTCTACGCAATGGCCTCTGCACCACAATTTATCGTCAAAGCACATTTCAACGGTGAGACATACATTTGTCCCACCGCTGGGTTTTTGTTTAGAGACACAAACAACATCCGATTTCTCTTAAACGGGAAAGCCAATTTCTCGTACTTCAAAAAAAGATTGGAGGCCAAACTTGAACGAGGCCCGGTGTCCCAGATATTTTATCAGAATCCAGTTTTCTTTGGAAACAACCAAGTAATTTTTTATAAGGTTGAAGTTCAAGATGACGAGGATCTCCAGAATATGTTTTCCAGCCATGTCTATTCTGGGTACGACTCTATTGAGTTGTACGTTATGCTGCGAGAGCCTCAGGTGACACAAAAGGTTGATCCTTTAGAGAATGAACAAGCTGAGGTAGATGCAGTTGATGATGAAGAAGAAGATAACGAATTAGAGTTTGATGAAATGGTGAATGATGATTCCGACGATGATGGCATCCCTAGTATTCCTGCAAACAAAATCTACACACCACCTCCGCACATGACAAACTTCAACATGGGCGGAGATGAACCTTCTACTGACTTATTTTTCAATCCGTATATGCAGTCGGATGAAAATTTAAAAGAGAAGGACAAGTTTCGTAACATAGAGGAATGCATCAGGGCCATTAAAAAATTCCACATGCTCAACTCAGTTGATTTTAAGGTGGATCGTGTCAACCCGGAAAGGTACAAGATCAAGTGTGTCCACCCTGACTGTATGTTCAAACTGACCGCATCATACAGATTAAGGGGTGACTGCTGGGTCATAGGTTCCATGACTACCCACACTTGTGTAAGTTCCACTCAATCACAGGACCACCGAAAACTCAACTATGATCTCATCTGTCAAGAAATCCTACCCCTGGTCAGCAACGACCCATCTTTGAAGGTGAAAACAATCATCTCCCACATCACGACAATTTTTAACTACACTCCGTCTTACTGTAAGGCGTGGTTAGCAAAGACTAAGGCGATTGAAACGGTGTACGGAAACTGGGATGAGTCATACCAAGAACTTCCTCGCTACCTGAATGCACTCAAGACGTATTCTCCAGGTAGTGTTTACGTTATGGAAACAGTGCCAGCATACGCCCAAGATGGTAGTCTACTAAATGGCAACGGAATATTCAGTCGCGTGTTTTGGGCATTTTAACCATGCATCACAGGGTTTGCATCATGCAAACCAATTATACAAATTGATGGGACTTGGTTGTATGGGAAGTACAAAGGCACGCTACTGATGGCAGTTGTATAAGATGGCAACAACAACATTTTCCCCATTGCCTTTGCCCTTGTCGAGGGGGAGACCGGTGGTGCTTGGAGCTTTTTCCTAAAAAATCTGCGGACACACGTGGCTCCTCAACCAGATCTCTGTTTGATCTCGGACATACATGCCTCTATTGAAAGTGCCTACAATAGTCCAGCAAATGGTTGGCATGACCCTCCTTCTACGCATGTCTATTGCGTTAGGCATATCGTCCAGAATTTCTCGAGGGAGATCAAGGACAAAACATTGAGGAAAGCGGTTATGAATGCGGGATATGCATTGACATAACCCACATTCAAATATTACCACAACGAGATTCGTTTGTCAAATCCAGAAGCCGGTAGGTGGATCGATAATATTCTGGTGGACAAATGGACTAGGTCATACGATAATGGCCAAAGATTGGGGCATATGACAACGAATCTTATTGAATCAATGAATGGGGTATTCAAAGGCATACGAAACCTCCCAATCACTGCCTTGGTAAAATCTACGTATTTTAGGATGGCTGCGTTATTTGCCAAAAGAGGTGAAATATGGAATGCGGTGTTGCAATCTGGACAACTATGGAGTAAAAGCTGCATGAAATACATTAAGGCTGAAAGTGCTAAAGCCAACACTCATATGGTTATACGGTTTGACCGACACAACCACAACTTCATTGTGAAAGAGACAATCGACCACAATGAAGGCCTGCAAAGACAAGAATATAGGGTCATGCTACCTTCTCAATGGTGCGATTGTGGCAAGTTTCAAGCATTTCGTATGCCTTGCTCTCATGTCATTGCCGCTTGTGCTCATACCCATCAAGACGCGCTGCAACTTCTGTCAAACATTTACAAATCTGAAACGTTGCTCAACATTTACAACAACAACTTTCCTTTGGTAGCAAAACCAGATTATTGGCCTGCATACGACGGCGAAATAGTGTGGCACAATGACCAAATGCGAAGGAACAAGAAGGATCGTCCCAAAAGTAAGCACATCACAACAGAAATGGACGATCTTGACAGGTTGGAAAGAAAGTGTGGTTTATGCCGTCAGGTCGGACACAATCGCAAAAACTGTCCGAATCGGGCGTCTGGCTCGACCACATAAATATTGTAATACATAAAATCTTTTCTTAATTGTGTTGTAAACATTTGGGTTTTCAGTTAACAGATTTTGCTACAATTAATAAAACGCGTACAAGAATAATTAACGATATTCCATCTACGAAATTACAATTGTTAACACAATTTCATCTGACCCATGCATCATCAATATTACATCGCTGTCTGTTTTAACTTCCTCCAACCACACATTAGGTCTTCCTGTCGCATGTGAGGTTGTTGTTCGTTTTCGCTGGATCCTTCGAATTTTTTCCCCCTCCGCAATGTCTCCATCTAACCATCACATCAACTCCCGCTTCAGACGTTCCATGGAGTGAATGTGCCAGAATTTCATTTTCATTGCAGGTTTCGTGGCGGAGAAGATAACGTAACCATCTCTGCTAAAAATCATAGGCGACGTCATGACGCAAATAATAGAGTACAAAATAAAAATACAGTGCGAGAAAGTGTGAGAAATTTTAGAGAAACGGGCGAATTATTTATAAAACATCATTTTGCCCTAGTTTTGCCCTAGGAGCCAAGTGAGATGGCGCCTCCTCTCACTTTTAAGGAGCATGCGCCATCTCACTTGACTAAAAGCCAAGGGAGGCGCCAAGTGAGATGGCGCCTAGGGCAAATTGGTAGGTGCATGCGCCATTTCAGATGGCTCCTCCTTTGGGGAGTCATCTGAAACATGATTATTTGCGTAATTTTTTTCCGAAACCCATTTATTTGTGAAATATTATTTTAATACTTGGTTATTAATAAAAAAAATTCTAAAATATTTAATATCATTTCAATTAAAATTGTATTACATCATTTAAAATAAACACTAAATTGAATGAGAGCGTAAATTCACACACAAAATTTAAAAAATAATTAGAATAGTAATTTTTAAAATAAAATAAAATAAAATAGAGAGATGAAACTTGTAATTGAACCTAGTTTGAAATGTATTTTAAGAAGCCGCAATCACAAATCAGTACACAAGGCTGTGTAAGTGGGAGTGAGCCAGTTCTTAGGTTAATCATCATTACACTAAACACAACACAACCAATATCTTTAGCAGCAGCAACGGAACTCGTTTGAATTTCAAGGCGGGAACCCAATTTCATTTCTTTCATTTCTCAATTACCCTTTTTTTTTCTTCTTTCAAGATCCAGGTTTCCACTTCTTCAAAAACGCTATGGTGTTGTTCATCTTCCTCTAGGGTTTTTTTCTCTCAAATTTCCCAATTCTTTCTCTTAATGGACTCTGCATTTTCAATTACACCTCAATGGCTATCATAACAACCTTCACCGGCAAACGCCCTCACCGGTGGCTTAACCCCAACCGTTCGTCTCCGAGTTCTTCCGAATTCAAAAGACAGAAAGTATCAACCATGTCCCACAAAAAACCACCACCATTACCCACCGCCACAACCAATGCCACTGTTTCCAGAATTTCTCGTTACCCTGAAACTAAGCCACCTCTGCATAGAGAAGTTCACGCGCCGTGTAGTAGACCGCGCAAATTCGATTTATCTATCAATTCCAAACCAGAATCGTCAAAGTTGCTGGTTAGTGGTATCAACCACTCGTTATTTGAAAATTACCAGCGTGAGAAATGTTCTGCAATGGCCACCATCCCGTTAGAGCCAAAGGGAAAAGAAAAGGATAATCATAAAGAGGTTGTTTCGGAAGATTCAAATGTTGAAGATGTACTGCCTGTGGAGAATTATTTGGTTTGTTTGGATACTGAGGTTGAGGCAGTGAATGGAAGCGTTCAGAAACAGTCAACTTCATCTGTGGTTTCTGAGTTGAGTAATGATAAATTGAAAGTGGTTGATGATGCTGCAAAGATTTTGGATACTTTGTCTTTGGATCCGGAGAAGGATGTTTCGAGTGTTGGTGCTTACAAGAAGTTGCTCCAGGCTGTTGATAAGAGAACAGATACAATTGGTAGGTTGAAATTTGAAATTCAGCTTAATGAGAAGCGCAGGTCGGCGTCGCGTCCAAAGAAAGATCTAGTGGAGGTAAAAACTTATTAAATTGTCAACACACATAGATAATGTATATGTATAGATAAATCTATGTTTGTGCATATGTATCTCTCTATGTAAATGTCACTTTTATTAACGCATAAGAAACATTCCAAATACGTCTGTAATTGACAAAGTCTTACTATGGCTCTCAGGAAGTGCCGCCGGAACCTTTTGTTCCTCTTACAAAAGAGGAACAAGTTGAGGTTGCACGAGCATTTTCTGCTAACAGGTATGCTTTGAAAGTTTGGTTATGTGCTATTTATGAAAGTTTAAGTTGTAACATATCTGATTGAGGGCTTGTTTCTACAGGAAGAAGATATTGGTTGCTCATGAGAATTCCAATATTGAAATATCGGGTGAAAAGTTTCAGTGTCTGAGGCCAAGTGGATGGTTAAACGATGAGGTGATGTGCTGATCTTGTTTGCTTATTGTCTGTTAACATTTGTTAAATTTTGTGGAAGAAAAGAATTTGGTATTTAATTATACAATGATTTTAATTTGTTGCACCATGAAATTCAGTTATCTTGTGCCTTACCTTTGCAGGTGATAAATTTGTACCTTGAGTTACTGAAAGAGAGGGAGAGAAGAGAGCCACAAAAGTTTCTGAACTGTCATTTTTTCAATACCTTTTTCTATAAGAAGGTAGTGTCTTCTTATTTCTCTTATATACACTGGCCAGTGCTTTCAGCCTTGCACACACATGGACATGTCGACCAGGATTTCTTAATCTTTTGAGGCATGTTTTGTAAAAAAAATTTCAGCTTTCATGAAAAGTAACACACTGTTGATAAATATTTTCTGGAAAAAAATGCCTTCAAATGTTTTGCATTGAAGATTGAAAATATTTCCTTTGAAATTACTACGTGTCTCAATTACTTAATAGTAAAAACAAATCCACGTTCTGTAGCTAATTCTTTAAGAATTGGGAGCCTGTTACTCCATGTGAAGCTTTTGCTTCTGTTGACTTTTGTTTTGAACATGATATTCTTATACAGTTAATTGAGTGATACTCCCGAATTCCCTACATAGTATATATACAATTACATCGAAGGGAAATTTTGCTCATTGCTTCTCGAAGTTCACACTAGTCATTAATTATACTTAGTAAACAATAACAGGAAGCAAAGTCCTTTTTTCCCAAAGAGAACAAACACAAAACATCATGCACATTATGTGTTTTATCTATATTTTCTGTAATTTAGTCATGTTGTCTGTCGTTGATGCTTGTAATTTTGTCTTGTTTTTCCAATAAGCCAGTTAATAAGTGGCAAGAATTGTTATGATTACAAATCTGTGAAGAGATGGACTACTCAGAAGAAATTGGGATATGGTCTACATGAATGTGATAAAGTAATTATTCTCAAACACATTTTGAAGTTTTGTTTTTCTTATGACCTATTAGCTCTTGTGCTGATTTGTTGCCGATTTCTTGTCGTACCCAGATATTTGTACCTATTCACCAGAATATCCATTGGTGCCTAGGTGTTATCAATAATAAGGAAAAGAAGTTTCAGTATCTTGATTCACTGAAAGGAATTGATACCCAAGTGCTGGAAGTGCTGGTAATATTCCTGACTTGTAGTTTACGCCCTGTCTCATATTAAGTGTCTTGTTTGGAATATTTTCTTGTCTTGTTATTTTACATTTAGAATATACCAAGTTACCAATGAAGCATTAGTTACATTTTTCCACTAATAATACCCATATTTGTTGTATCTTAATCAATATAACTACTCAACTAACTAAATTATCACTAAAGGTATTTTATTTTATTAATGAAACTCGTCTTATTATCGAAATCAGTACAATCAATGATTTTCTTAAAAACAGATAAATCAAGAAAGAACTGTTTTAAATAAATTTAACTCTAATTAATAATAGATAAATCAAGAAAGGCTTCTGGAATAAAAGAACCACTTACATTTTTCACCAAACCAAACAAATATGATTTGCTTTGATTAGGTCCAGGCCTTTGTCTGGCAATTGGAGTCTAAGTGTGCCTCTGATGTAATTTCCTGCCAAACTTAATTAGATTGGAAACTCGGGGAAGATGTTTGCATTAATTTTTAGCTGTTGCAGCATGTAATATGTATTATTAATGTCTCCCAGGCAAGATATTTTGTAGATGAAGTAAAGGACAAGACTGGAGAAGATATTGACATAAGTTATTGGGAAAAAGAATTTGTTGAAGAGCTTCCTGAACAGAAGAACGGGTTTGTAATTTACTCTTTTGTGAATCACTGTATGAGATCAATGTTTATTTGATTATTTTCCCTGATCTTTAAAAACGAGGAAAAAACTTCTGAAATGGAAAATCAAGCAATCGTAAATTCCCACTGCACTTAAAGTTTATTGCATTGACTCAAAATGCTCTCCATGTATAATTTGTTCGGCTTAATTCCAAATTTTAGTCCCTCAAATATTGCGATTGTATGAATTTGGTCCCCCACTTTGTCTTAGTCATTTGGATCCTCAATGTTTATCCCCTTTTGCAATTAGGGGTCTCCTGTTTTTCCTCAACTTTTTGTGATAAGATATGAAGTGTGAGTGTGTCCATGAGAATGATTGTTAGGGTTTACAGAATGGAAAATTGAGATTAGGGGGATTGTATTGTTGGTTGATCTAAAAGGGTAGTTTGTCCATGGGAAGGGGGGTTAGGATTTACCATAAGAGAAATGGTAAATTAGTGCAAATTAAATAAATGACATGTTTTTCATAACTATCTCCCAAGTCACAATTGCATTAATGGAATTAAAGGTATCCGCGTCATAATGAAATTTCCATGTCTATAGGGGGGAGAAGGGTATTCCGTGATAAGTATATAAGAGAGAAAAGCTGCTCTTGATTGGTTACAAGCAAACTGTCACAAATATATTTTTAAACTTCGAACCTACACAACTCTATTTGACTCTCGGTATTAACTTCTTGACTATTTGTCATTGAGATTTTGCTTGAACTACTAGAAATCACCCCTTGGGCCTACTACATGGGTGTTTTAATTTTTATGTTCTTTGATGGCAGCCATGGTTGTCATCAATAATCTGATAGGAACCGATACCGAAGTACAAACTATTTATAATCAACAATTGGCAAATAAACCAACCTCTAGGAATTAGAGAGCCTAGTCTCTCCCAAACCAATTAACCACTCAAATATTTCCTGGATATCCCTCTAACATGTGATTTCCTTATTTTATATTCACATCACCCATAACTGCTTCATAACTGCCCCATAACTGCTACTAATTATTAATTAAAAACCAGAAACTGTTAATGAAAATAAATAACTGCCTATAACTAACAATACTCCCCCCCAAACTATCACCTTATCCTCAAGGTGAAGACGAAGGATAACAAAAGTGTCCACCAGAATTCCATAACTTAGAGTGATAGAGCAAGGCGTAAAACATGATAACTTATGCCTGGATCGGATCATACACTGTTTTGAGTGGTTTGTCTGACCGAAAAACTTAGTATGACAGCAGTAGGCATTAACAACTCTGGTTTGATCAAACTAGAGGATAATGCACCCTTCACCCAGGACTCGTCTGGACCTGGCGGCGCTAGGCTGTCCAACTTGAGTGAAGCCCTTCTCTCTCTGACAATTGTTCTAGACAGTCTTGTTCTCGATTCAGACACCATACTCTCGTCATGCTCATCAAAGTGTCTGTTGATACCAAGAAATTTGCAAAAGTCTGCTTTTGTCACTTGCTTTTCGACGATGACATTCACAAGAGAATTTTGGCCATCTTCTACTTTTGCAATTTCTACCTTTTCCTCATTTATTTCTTCTGTTATCTGAATGAGACCGGAATTTCCCTGGTTTGTTTCTTCCTGTTGAATATTGAATGTGTGAGTCGGCGACGACTCCGATTTCAATTCAAGTTCCTCTTCTTCATAGGATATAGGAAGGAGGTCTCTATACTCTGGCTTAAAATGCCAAAGCAGCGCAACCGGAAACATTTGCCAATTTGCTTGTAGATGGCGTCGGCTCCACCACTGCCACCATTTGAGAGCATAGTTTCTCAAGGCTTTCACTGTCTCGGGCAACTTCTCACTTTTCGGTGTTCCCACAACATCAAAATGCTTCTCAATACAAATCAACCACCAATAGGCACATCTTCGCTGCCGTCGAATTGTGGCATGCCCATTTTTCCCTATTGTGATTTTCTTGCTTCGGATCAGAACTACTCTGATACCAGTGATAGAAACCGGTACCAACATACAAATTAATGGTACAAACTGACTTTTATTTATGGAAGAATATGATTACAACAGACACATGATTACAAACACCAGAGATAATACATAATACACAGATAAACTAATCCAAGAAATTTGAGAGTCTTGGTCTCTCCCTCCAAGAATTAGAGAGCTTGGTCTCTCCCACCCAAACCATTCAATAACTAACATAGTCGTTACTATTGTACAGTTTTTTATCACCTGAACTTGATTGTATGCTATTGGTTAATATCAGAAACCAGTCTTGTAGCTTGGAACCTTGTTTACCGAGGTTTGTGAGTGAATTATCTTCTAAATGAAGTTTTATACTTGAACAGGTCTGATTGCGGGGTATATATGGTCAAATATGCTGATTTTTATAGCAGAAACTTGAGGCTGTGTTTCAATCAGGTAAAACAGAGTTTTCCATTTCTATTAAGAGAATCATGCCTCTGTTTTATGTTTATTATATAGATAAGAAATACTCCCTCCATTCCTATTTATAAGAAAATTTTGACTTTTTAGATTCATTGAATAATTGATGTATCTAACCTATATATGGACCAAATACATCATTTATTCAATGAATCTAAAAAGTTAAAATTTTCTTATAAATAGGAATGGAAGGAGTATTTTCTTTTTCTCTAATCATTAATTTGGAAAGCCACTCACATAAGGAACACTCTAATTGTCATTATAAATTTTATTGCCAAGAATTTGCAACGGGCAAAATGTTTTATTTTCTATACATGGTGTGACCAATAACTGATAAACTTTAACACCAAATTTCCTTGTTGGAATGTTTAAACAAGATCTAGGGGACTCGTATTTTATGCCTTGTCAATACGCAAAAGCCTTATTTTGATGACTATTTTTAAATATTTTTTCAGAATTGATTTTCCTTTTCTTCAATTCTATTTGTAGGAACATATGCCTTATTTCAGGCTTAAAACAGCTAAGGAAATTTTGAAATTGAAAGCTGAATAAGCAAGAGAAGAACACGAGAAATTAGGGGAAAAAACATTAATGTCAAATTAGCAGGGAATTTTTTTATGGAGGATCCTTCACTTATGTCACTAACAATAACCATTCAAGAATTCTGGCATTTGTTATATTAGCTGGACCGACTATACATATCATCCTGATACACGAGTACACCAAGTTGGTTGGTAGTGTAGAATGCAGGAGATTCATGGATTGTACATGTTCCACGAAAGTGAATCCATAGATGAGGCATTTCATTTTGAGATTGAGATGTTAAATTATGTATCAATAAACAAATGCGCTTCATTGCTATTTTTGGTGGCTGATTTTACTATATGTTTCATGCTCTGAATGATGCGACGTTTTACAACTTATGTTCAGAATTACTGCTAGGAAATTTGCGTATGTTGTCTTGTATTTGGAAGTTTGCTCAATTTTAAATGAGCTTAAGTCAAAGGTATATAACCAAGTTATTTTGGAGTGTATCCAATCCAACCGTTAGGGGGTTTTAAAATAGGGGGTTCAATTCCTTAAATGAGTAAAAATAGGGGACTTATTGTATAAGAATAAAAATGAAATTTAAATTTAGCTTACTATTTTGCGTGTAAGTTTCTTTCCCCAATCTTTGCGTTTAAGTTGTAGCTATATTTCTAGGCAAGGGGTACACCTTCGGTTAATTTAGCAAACTGTAGCTTACGTTACACGGTCCTTCCTATATAGAGAAACTACAAAAGGCCCCACAGAAAGATACCAATCAAACAAGACATTTAAAATACATATAAAGTTAACATGGTCTAATAGGCCTAATAGTTGATTCTGATTATAACAACTAACTGTTTTGCTAGCCATTTGATGCTTGCAAATCGGCAATACCTACCCCGTCTTCAACTCCTACAATTAAACACACGAGTTGAATAAATAGCATCTGGGATTTAAGTTACTTAATTTGTTACCACAGGAGATATATCCATTCAAAGGTCATACATGCACATTTCACATGAAGCATGATTAAATATGAGATCACCAAATTTGTGCAAGGTAAGCATGTAATGATGAAAAAACATGTTTCCCTTTTACTAGTTAGATAGCGACGATAAAATAGATATAAGATGATTTAACACGAGTCCGTATCATCTCTATTTCTTTAGGAAACGGAGATCAACATTTCTCTCTTTAGTTGAAAGACACTTCATTTAAAATAAATAAGTGGTGAATTTTTTTTTTTTACTTTAGACCATTTAAAGTTTAACAAATAAAAAATTAATAGAAAATAAAAACAATCAATTTTGGAGGCAAATGTGAAAAAATTGAGAACACGAAAGCCACAAACAATGTCATCTTTTTCAAGTATATCAACTGCAAGCATATCAATCGGAAACCATCTTTCACCCTAATCTCTATAGCTCATTTTATTTCTCTGCATAGTCTCATTCATTGTTTTAACAGTAATACTTTACCTTACCGTTGTGATATCTCGCCGCCACACTTTCGTATTGTTGCGTACTGTGAGCTGTTTGCAAATGCAGAAAATTTCTAATCATATTCCACCGCTTTGTCGTGCCATAGGTAAGAAATTCAACAAATTTCGTTTGAACTCAACTTAATTGAAAATTAATTTATATATGTGTAAATACCTTCTTCAAAAATGTATTCCTTTTTTTCTAATACACAAATATGCATCTAAGTCTATATGATTTTCACCATTATAATGTATCTAAGTTAACAAATTGAATCTATTTTTTTCACCATAAAATCCAAATGAGTCATCAATTTCTGCTGAAGGTGTGGTTCAATGGATCCACAATATTCATGAAAGTATTTTGCCAAATAATAAAGAGAATTCAATTAATCATATACCACACTTGAAAAAAGAGTTTGAATTTGAAGCAACTGCTTATGAGTTTTATAATGAGTATACTAGGAGAAATAAATTTAGTATTCGTCGAGAATATGAAAACAAAAGCAAAATAGATGGAAATCTGACATCAAGAAGATTCTTGTGCTTTAAAGAGGAAAAACAGGGTGTTGACAAACTGAGACCACTTGACAAAAGAGTCTAGAGCATAAACAAGAACTGGATGTAAATCGCATATGGTTATTTCACTTGATCGAAAAATTGGAAAATACAAGATTGTCTGTTAGGAAACTACGCAAAATTTCCCATATTATCAGATTTGTGGAAGAACAAAATAATACGGAAGCACACAAACTTAATGAAAATGAAATCTATAAATTCATTAACCTCTCCTCACATGAAAATTTCACAACTCAATTACACTAAAAGAATTTATTGAAATTATGTTCTGATGATTACAAATGAAAGATACAAGACTTTTATAGCCAATAAAACAAGAAAGGTGAATGATTATTATTTAACATCTCCTTAAAGTTCTCATAACCATTATTGTTTCTTTTTACTATTATATTTTCTTGTTTCTCCTTCATACTCTCTTTATCTCTCTTTTATTTTGACTAACAATCTCTCACTTGAAGAGTGATTTCAATCAGTCTTCACACCTTGGTCAAACAACAACGTTTATCAATCTATTATTCTAGCAGGCCAACTGAAGAAGAGCACAACTTCAGTTTATCAATTGTTACCACCTTTGTTAACATGTCAGCTGGATTCTCACTTCCTTGTATTTTTCTCAATGTTAGTACCTCATCCTCAAGAAGAGATCTAATGAAGTGATAACGAAGACCAATGTGTTTTGTTCTTGAATGAAATGCAGAATTTTTTGCTAGATGTATTACACTTTGACTGTCACTATACAAAACACTCTTCTCCTGCATGAAACCCAACTCTGTTAACAATCCTTGAAGTCATATTAATTCCTTACTAGCTTCTGTGACTGCTACATACTCAGCCTCAGTAGTAGATAAAGCAACAATCTTTTGTACTCGAGATATCCAACTAACTGCTCCTGTACCAACAATAAATATATAGTCAGTCGTACTTCTTCGGTAATCAACTTCACCAGCAAAGTCTGCATCAACGTATCCTTGTAATTTTATTTCTCCTTTGCAAAAGTATAGACATTTCTCTTTAGTGCCTCGTAGATATCGCAAAATCCACTTGACTGCTTCCCAGTGAGCTTTTCCTGGATTTGCCATAAACCTGCTTACAACTCCCACTGCATGGCCAATGTCTGGCCTAGTACATACCATTGCGTACATCAAACTTCCTATAGCTGAAGCATATGGAATCTTAGCCATGAATTCTCTTTCTTCCTCCGTCTGAGGAGACTAGTCCTTAGATAGGCGAAAATGACTTGCCAAAGGTGTGCTAACCGGTTTGGCATTGCCCATGTTGAATATTTGCAAAATACGATTGATGTACTCTGCCTGAGATAACTGCAAAATTCCTCTTTTCTTATCTCTCATGATTTGCATTCCAAGAATCTTCTTTGTTGGACCCAAATCCTTCATGTCAAACTCCTTTGATAACTGCATCTTCAAGTTTCTGATTTCATCCATATCTGGACCTGCTACTAACATATCATCGACATAGAGTAGCAAAATGATGTAATTGCACTTATATCTCTTGAAGAAACAATAGTGATTGGCATTGCACTTCTGGAAACCTTCCTTGTGCATAAAGCTTTCAAACTTCATATACCACTGTCTTGGAGCCTGTTTCAGGCCATACAAGCTCTTCTTTAATCTGCACACCTTATTCTATTTCCCTCCCTCTAAGAAACTTTCAGGTTGGTGCATGTAGATCTCCTCATCTAAGTCTCCGTGGAGAAACGCAGTCTTCACGTCAAATTGCTCAAGGTAGAGCTCTTTGCTGGCCACAATACTTAAAACTGACCTGATAGTATTGAGCTTCACAACTGGAGCAAATATTTCAGTGTAATCAACTCCTTCTTTTTGCTGAAATCCTTTGACAACTAGTCGGGCTTTGTATCGCTTAGAACCATCATGATCCTCTTTTATTCGATACACCCATTTGTTGTGAAATGCCTTCTTTCCACTAGGTAACTCAGCTAGTTCCCATGTCTGGTTGGAGATTAAAGACGTCATCTCATCTTTCATTGCAAGCTCCCACTTACTAGCATCTGTGGTCTGACATGCTTCTGCATAGTCTTCAGGCTCACCTCCATCAGTTAGCAACATGTAGTCCATGTATCTCCTATTGGGAACATGAGGTCGAGAAGACCTTCTCAATATAGGAGTTGGAGTACAAGTCTCTGATGCGTCATACTGTTGCTTACTGCTTTGTTCATTTGATTCCTCTAATTGAGGACTTTCAATTGTAGGACTTTCTAGGATATCATCCACCTCTGCATAAACTGGGTCATATAATTTTGATTCATTGGTGCTTGTGTTATGCCTATCTTTGTACATAACTCTTTCATTAAAGACCACATCTCTACTGCGGATCATCTTCTTGTTTTCATCATCCCATAAGCGATACCCAAACCCATCCTCACCATAACCGAGGAAAGTGCATTTCTTTGATTTGGGGTCAAGCTTATTCCTGCCATGATCACTAATGTGCACATATGCTACACAGCCGAAAACTTTAAGATGTGAAAGTTTTACCTCTTTTTCGCTCCATACCTCTTCTGGTATTCTATGCTCCAATGGTACCGATGGACCTCGGTTGATTAAATAAGTTGATGTGTTGACTGCCTCTGCCCAGAACTGCTTCGGTAATCCTGACTGCACATGTAAGCTTCTGGCTCTTTCAGTCAACATTCAATTCATACGCTCAGCTACGCCATTCTGTTGAGGTGTACCTGGCACAGTCATCTCCATTCTTATTCCGTGCTCATAGCATAACTTCTTGAACTTGGTGTCTACATATTCACCACCATTGTCAGTTGGGAGCTTTTTGATTTTCAATCCGGTCTCATTTTCTACCATTTCTTTCCACACCTTGAAAGCCTCAAATACGTCAGACTTATATTTCAGAAAGTATACCCATACCTTTCTGGAATGATCATCAATAAAAGTCACGAAGTATTTCTTCCCACCAATAGATGAGACGGTAGTTG